CAAATTAGGCGTTCCATCGGCCGAACAAGGGGTCATCAAGGCAGGAATACAGCCGCGGAATACTTGGGATTTATCGGTCACTGCGCTTCTCGGTTCGTTAAATGATTCACTCTGACGGATGAACTTCCCCTATCATACCGCCAAAAGCTGGGAATTGTCTTGACAAACGCTCCAACACCGACTGGAATTTGCGCATAGTTTGAGGAGAACCAATGATCCCCCAGATTCATGAAATCCTAGGCCAGCTCGACAAACCGTTCACCGGCGAAGAACTGTTCGACCATCTGCCGGACATTGTGTTTTTCATTAAAAACACCCAGGGCCAGTACCTCGTCGTCAACAACACGCTCGTGCAACGCTGCGGAGCCCACGAGAAAGCTGACCTGATCGGACGTACGCCTGGCGAGGTCTTAAGACCGCCACTTGCGCAAAGTTTTGAGGACCAGGACCGTAAAGTGCTCGCCTCAGGGCAGCCCCTTGTCGGGCAGTTAGAACTGCACTTCTATGCCACGCGCGACGTTGGCTGGTGTTTAACGAGCAAGCTTCCACTGCGAAACAAAAACGGAGACGTGGTCGGGCTTGTCGGCGTTTCGCAAGACTTGCGTCTGCCTGACCTGGCGACCGACGAATACCAACATGTGATCGACGCCATCAATCACGCCGAGGCCCATCTCGACAACCCACCGAGCGTGTCGGAACTGGCCGAGATCGCCGAGATGTCCCCTTATCAACTCGATCGCCGCATGCGACGCGTGTTCGGTCTGACCACCGGGCAGTGGCTATTGAAGCTGCGGATCGACTTGGCCCAACGCCGACTTAGCACATCGGACGAGTCAATCTCGCAGATTGCCATGGAAGCAGGTTACGCCGACCAAAGCGCCTTTACTCGGCAATTCCGCCGCGCAACAGGGATGTCTCCCCGCGACTACCGTGCCGCACGGCGTAGCAATTAAGTTGATGCCGCGCGGCTCTGCGGTCGAACCATCTACTCGCAGGGCCTAATCTTTGGAAACATGCGTCAAAAGCAG